GCTAGTGCTCTACCACTTGAGCCACAGCGCCACTTCTGGCTTTTTTCTTTTTGCTTATGTGGTGCTGAGGAATCCAACCCAGGGCCTCATGCATGCAAGGCAAGCGCTCTACTACTGAGCCATCTTCCCAGCCCTGGGCACTGTCTTTGAGCCTCTCTGTTTCCTAGGCTAGCGCTCTACCACTAGAACCACAGCGCCACTTCTGACTTATTCTGTTTATGTGGTACTGAGGAATCAAACCCAGGACTTCATGCATGCTAGGCAAGCACTCTATCACTAAGCCACATTCCCACCCCGAGTTTATATTCTTTTTATTTTTTTGGGGGGGTCCAGTAGTGAGGCCTGAACTCTGGGCCTGGGTGCTGTTCCTCAGCTCTTCAGCTCAAGGCTATTGCTCTACCACTTGAGCCACAGCGCCACTTCCAGCTTTTTTCTTTTTGCTTATGTGGTGCTGAGGAATCCAACCCAGGGCCTCATGCATGCAAGGCAAGTGCTCTACCACTGAGCCACCTTCCCAGCCCTGAGTTTATATTCTTAAGGATTGGTATCAGCAAATACCTCCTTCCTCCCCCAAACCCCCAAAACCTTGGGTGTTTTAATTGCTGTCTATATTTATACCACAGGGTGCATGCTGCATGGGAAGTATTGTCAAATTGGAAAATAAAAACAAAAATTTACATTATCTGCAAACAGGGAATCAGACATGACCTCTTAAACTAACCTCAAGAGGAGAGAAGTCATGATTGACAAGGAATGAGAGGCCTCCCACAGGGACCACCAGAAACTCCACTCGGAAGGTGTCGTGATTGCCGTCATAAGTTGCCTTGAATTTCATGTAGATCAGGTACACCGTGGCATAGGAGCAGGCAATGTAGATAAGCTGAAAATGAGAACAATGTCCAGATTAGCAATACACAACAAGAGTCATCACTCTCTCAGCTTTCTATAACACCCATCTACTCAGCATTTTGGGGGGGTTGTATTTTATTTATTTATTTATTTATCTTTTTAAATAGTTTTTTTTGGGTCCGGTCGTAGGGCCTGAACTCTGGGCCTGGGCACTGTCCCTCAGCTCTTCAGTTCAAGGCTAGCGCTCTACCACTTGAGCCACAGCACCACTTCCGGCTTTTTCTTTTTTGCTTATGTGGTGCTGAGGAATCAAACCCAGGGCCTCACGCATGCAAGGCAAGCACTCTACCACTGAGCCACCTTCCCAACCCCAAAGGGGGGGTTGTATTTTAATATTTAAACATGGTCAAATTCTCTTTTCTTTTTCATTTTTTTGTGCCAGTCCTAGGTCTTGAACTCAGGACCTGGGTACTGTTCCTGAGCTGCTTTTGCTCAAGGCTAGCACTTGAGCTATAGTGCTACTTCCAGCTTTTTCTGTTTATGTGGTACTGATGAAGCAAACCCAGGGCTTCATGAATGCTAGGCAAGCACTCTACCACTAAGTCCCAGCCCCATAGTCAAATTCTTTGGGAGGTGTTCAACTTATAGTACCACCCCCCAATTTAGGGCAAAGAAACTCAGCACCTTAAGCTCCTGCTCGACTTTTTCCCATGTGTGGAGCTCTACCACTTCTGGACGTGAGAGTCTCATGGACTTTCCTGCCTAACTGGCTTCAAACCATGATCCTCAGATCTCAGCTTCCTGAGTAGCTAGGATTACAAGCATGAGCCACCACAGCCTGGCAGTGATTATTTTTTATTTTAAATTATGTTACTCTTATCACTACATACCTAGATCGTTGATATGAAATTCTGTCATCACAACAAAAGCCCTGAAGGTTAGAAATTATTTGGAAAAACCTGCTGCCTCCAAGGGAAAATTCTGTGTATATAGCAGCTTGGCTGTTCAAAGGTCCCGAAGTAAGGTTTGTTTTCTTTCATCTTCCAGAAGTCAGATGTTATGCCCCCTACCTACCTACCCCAAGTTAAGCTGGGTGTAACTTGTAACAGTATATACCATAAACTCTGACACTGTGAAAATATGTCAATTTCAAACCACCTATATTTATGCTCAAGAATCAAACCAGCAAGGTCACCAAATTTAAGATCAAAGAACCAATTTTCAAATCACCAAAAAGTAAGCCCAAGAACCAAATAGCTGTCTCTGTTCAATCAAATGAGAAGAAATGACTAGGATAGGGATCACACCATCTGGTGTTACTTCTTAGGATATACAACTTGAGAAACTTAATTAGGAAAACATTTGAGCAAATGACTTAATAGGTAAATAAAGACAGTCAAGCACTTACATGATTAATAAAAAAAATTCACAAAGAAACTAGACAAGGATCAGGGCAGCTAAAGCCTCACTTGAGTGGCTGTGGTCAATGGGGTTTAGCCCACTGGGGCCTCAGCAACCACTGAAGAACAGCTATATCCTAATCCCTCTAGTGCTCAGCAGATAAAAACTACATGGCTCTCACTCCACTGACTTTCAGGGCTGGGAAGGTGGCTCAGTGGTAGAGTGCTTGCCTTGCATGCATGTGGCCCTGGGTTTGATTCCTCAGCACTACATACACAGAAAAAGCCAGATGTGGTGCTATGGCTCAAGTGGTAGAACGCTAGCTTTGAGCTGAAGAGCTGAGGGACAGCACCCAGGCCCAGAGTTGAGGCCCCATGACTGGAAAAAAAAGAAAATACAACCAAGCAGCTGAGCATAACATGTTACAGTGCACACCTGCAATCCCAGCCACACGGAAGGCACAGAGTAGTATGTGCTACAGTATGTGCAAGACCTCTACCTCAAAAACCTGTGCATGGTGACACATGGCTGTATTCCTAGCTAGGTGGGAGATAGAAGTAGGTGAATTAGGTGTGGTGGGCCAAAAAAACAACATGAAACCCTACGCTGCAGCAAAAAATACTGGACATGGGGCTGGGACAGTGGCTCAGTGTTAGAGCACTTGCCTTGCATGCCTGAGGCCCTGGGTTCAATTCCTCAGCACCACATAAGCAAAAAGAAAAAAGCC